CTTTCTACATCTTTGAAATGGGAAGGGAAAAAAATGACAATGAATGAGAAGTCATGCTAACTACCGAAGAAAGTTTCAAACTTCATGGAAATCATTTTCTTTTTGAATCATTTTTTAAGGTTGTGTTTAGTTTATGAATTTGGAGATGCATTTGAAAAAGGAAAAAAAATGTGTATGAAACTGTTGGCATCATAAATAAATAATTTTTTATTATTAATATATTGATAAATTGCAGGACATGTGTCACTCTTTTACTCATTTTGAGGTTATGAAAAGTTATGAATTATTAAATACATGTGAAAAGATAATGCAGAATGTAGAGGATCATGGGGCATGAATTGGATGTTAAACGAAGTTATGGAGACATAAAGATGAAGTGGGAGATCGTGGAGTGTGAAGTGTGGGAAATAAAAGAATGTAGTAGTTATTAGGTAGTTTTTTCCTATAAATGTTTGCCTATAAATAGCCATTAATGGCTACATTGTAAAGGAGGATCTAGAACTCAAATCAAAGACAATTGATTTTTATTTTTTTTACCATTTATATTTCTTGCACTTTATTTTATACACTTACTACAACATATAAGAGTTTTAGAGAACAAATGTTTTAGTCTTTAAAAGTAAAAATTTTGTTGTAAAATATATTTAGGGATCAATTTCTATCATCATAAGGATAATCGCTAAAAAGTGATATCGAAAAGTAAAAAATAAGGCTTTTAACGAGAAAATTTTAAAAATGTCATTAATAAATAGACTTTTAGGGACAAAATAATTTGGTCTCAAGATTGTTTATTTTTTAAACAAAAAATTTGGTCCCAAAAAGATAATAATTCATCATTAATGTCTAATTTTCATTGCTAAAAATACAATAACGACACTTTTCGCAACAAAAATATTTGATCCCTAAAAAATAATTTTCTCCCTAAATTTTAATCTCTAAAACCTTAATTTTTTGTAGTGACTTCATTTTCGAAGCGTAGGAATAGAGGTAAATTTTCTGTACTTTATTTTATGCACTTCCTTTTCGAAGCATAGGAGTAGAATTAAATTAATGGTTAGTTTGATCGTTCACTCAATCATTCTGATTGTTCACTGAATTATCTTTTTCCGTCTCTCTCATTCTTCTTTTAATTTTTCTTTTCTCTACACTTGATAATTTTAAAGTCCTCTTCATTGAAACAAAAGAACCATCAACACAATTGCTTGATAATTGGCTTGAATTTAATCTGTCAAGATTTTTCAATTTTTACTGACACGCTCTCGTTTATGGTATTTTCCTTCGCAAAAAAAAAATAAGCCAACAAAAACATAGACAAAATATAATTATATTTCATTCACATTTAATTTATATTTTACATTTTTCTCTCTAAATCACCCATCAAATTCATGAAACAATCTTATTGCAAAAAAGGGATCTCAATATATGTTCTTTAATTGAGATTTAACAACTGTCCTAAAAATATTTAGGCCGAGTTTGACATCTCTCTAAAAAGATAAAAAATCAAAAAGTTATTTAAAAAGTTAAAAAGTTATCACTATTTACTAAAAAAATATTAAAAAATTAACTTTTTACACATCCATACAACTCAACAATCATGTATATTGTACGGTTATGCAGCGTTTGTTAAGAAAAGTAGCATAGTTTAGGTGCAATTTTCACACACTATTGTTCGGCTCGTGGGAGCTTATCACGGGTCCCGTTTTGATAATTTGAACTGTTTAATGTATAGAAATCGTCAACTACTATATGTCTATAAAAAATCACTTTGATCGGATATTGATAATTACATGATCAAATCAGTTTTATATAAAAAAATAGATGGTGTTATAATTAACGATTAAAAAAAACAAATCTGATCAGATAGCTATCGATATCCGATCAACTTGACTTTTTATAGGCATATAGTATTCGACGAGTTCTACACATTGAACAGTTTAGATTATCAAAATGGGACCCGTGATGGCCCCCACGGGCAGAACAAAACCGTTCAATGTAATGTCCGAAAAGTAGCCAATAATTTCTTACCATTAATTCAACCCCTCAGATTGTACGGCTGTACAACACACCTTTCTAATCTTCTCTTATACACTTCATTATACAATTTTTTAATACACATTTTTTCATAAAAAGTCAAAAAATTAACTCAAACATTTATATTTTTTTCCTCAAATTTATAATCTAAAAAGATAAAAAAATACATTTATTTAAAACATCCCAAATAACCCCTTATTTTGCTTTTATTCTTTTTCTGTTTTATAGGCCTAATAATTGAACCAGCTAGTTTACACCTATGAACTACGAACGTTTTGTTCAACCCCACTTCAAATTGTCAAATGTACGGTAATTTTCTTATCTGCAAGTTTGTGACTTTACATAAGAGAAAGTCCTTAGTAAACTCAAGTGGGGTTATTTTCATGTCGGTCAAATTCCTTCCTTGGAGGGCCTCCAAATTTGGAAAACAAAAATTGTTACCAAATTTTAATATGCTATATTTACAGGATATTTTTTTCGCATACATCAAACTCAACAAATATAAGAAAAGAAAATGTTATAACAATTATAAGACGAATGATTTACATGTAACTAAGAAGAGTCGAACTTCTATCTACCTGAGAGAGTAATTTATGCAGGTGAATTACGCCGAGCTAAGTCCATCATTCTTAGACATTGGGCCGAGGTGGGAGCTATGATAGCCCGGTTGTGGGCCATTCAGGCACCAAGGCAGTTAGAGGAGTCTCTAAGGCCTTGACTGCACTGCAAAGAGCTAGGTCCCGATATGGATCATGGTGTTAACAAGGGAGCGAGCCGAGCTGAGTATAGCTTGGTATAAGGCCATCTTGCTGTGAGGGTTACCACGATTCTGTCCAAAGTAGCATGGAGCCAAGGAAGGTCGGTTGACCGTAGCGTCAACCAAGGTAAAAGGTCGAAGTCATCTCACTTGGCTTGCAGTGATGGAGGTGTTATAAGATTAGGCATTATCCTTAGACATGTGACTCCTAGGAAGACTCTACTAAGAAGAGTTAGAATCCTACTAGGATTGTGTCAAACAGATTCTATAAAAACTCATGACCGGATCTATGCACATGTATGGCAATTCTTATTCTCAAATACACAGAACTTTTGTACCTATTATCTATTTGCTGACTTAGGCATCAGAGAGGTTCCCAGTACACACCTGCCGGCTAGCTCACGTTTGTATTTTCAAGTAGCAAAACGACGACATTTGGAGGAATGTAAGCTTAATCGATAGGATTATACAAGAAGATTATTTTGTACTGGTACACTACCTAATGAAATGCCCCCCATACTCCTATTGAGATGCAAGAACTTTTGACAAAGAGCTAACCAAGATCAGTGAATCAAATTCATAATCTACTTGTTGACTGCGTTTAGATCATAAAATTAGATAAAGATTGGAAAATGAAAGTAGGGAAATAGATATTATGTAAATTTTTCTCCATTGCTCTCACATTTTCCTTTATAACTCTATCCAAATTTTTTATTCAAACGTAGTCTGATTAATATGTTAAGGGAAAAATTGAAGTGGAAAAACACAGGAATCATATGAATAAATGTAGCAAAAATGACGATAATAAGGCTGTTTCTATGAGAAAATATATACAATAAATAAAATTTAAAAATTCTTTTATTGACTAAACTGCACTAACCTTTTTTGAGGTTTGAAAAAAAAAATAAAAATAAAAATAAAAAAAATCAACCAAACCTCAAAAGTTTATCATAATTTCACTACTCCCTTGAAGTTTTAATCCATTTAATACTTTGTCTTGTTTTCATCAGCCATTCGTTAATGATATTGATAGTGATAGATTTCATATCTTTTTACTAAAATATACTACTCTCGATTATCCGTGTATTTACACATACTATTTGCATTAGTTCTTGTCGTTTTAGCCTTACTAAAAAGAAATTATAATAATTATGATCAATGTAATTTACACTCTTTTATTTCATGTTTCATAGTAAGAATCTCCTTGTAAGTGGAGTAATATTGCCATTCAGAATATTTAAAAGCTCAGAGCATAATAGCGTCCTGGAACATATATAGAATAGAACCATCTTTAGCCAAAAGATAGTCTCCACCAATAATGATGATTAAGAATACAGGATCCCATTTTTGGTTGGGAACGGCTTCTGTCCAGTTCTTAATCGGACTGGACCGTATTGTTAGGTCTGTGGGGGTCCACTACGGGTTCCGTTTTGATAATCTGAACCGTTCAATTTGTAGAACTCGTCGAGTACTATTTGTTTGTAAAAAATCATGTTGATCGGATATCGATAGCTATGTGATCAAAACAGATTTTTATCAACCGTTAATTTATTCACCGTCTATTTTTTTATATAAAACTGATTTGATCACAAAGCTATCGATATCCGATTAACGTGATTTTTTATAGGCACATAATACTCGGCGGGTTCTACACATTGAACGATTCAGATTATCAAAACAGGACTCGTAGTAAGTCTTCACAGAAACCATGCCCTTTTTGGTTTATCCCTAGACAGATTCGAAGATACAAGAAAACTTCTTTGAGGTTAAACTTGGGGGGAAAAATGATCTTGAGGCCTATTCTGATTTTTTTTTAATCGGCAAATATTAGTTGTTAGTTGTTAGATTAATACCTATGGGAGAAAATCTCCCTACCCTTGGCAAAGTATCTAAGTTCTTGCACTCCCTTAATTCAACCTCTCTAAGGAGAATTGAACATATGACCTCTTTGGGATTAAGCCCTAAGAAAGGTATGGTGGTCAATTAGGCTAGGTTGAAGCCTATTCTGATTAAGACATCCCTTTTTGGAAAAGGAAATTTACCATCCAACAAAAAAAAATCAAAAAATAAATTGAGTGATAATCAATCTGAACTTGTTCTCCTCTCTTATTGACATAAACAACTTCACAAGCCCATGTAGATGTTGTTGAAACAGTGAGAGACCTTCCTTTTGTAATTGTTCAATTTCATGGAGAGAACTGATAATGATCTGGATATGCATAGTAATAATATTAACACAATCCTACATTCTTTATTTGATACAATATTAATACAAAGCAATAGTGTATTGCTTCTAGTACCATACAAAAATAGAAATTACAACTGCTTCCACACAAATAGAAACATTATTAACCATATAAAGGCAAGCCAACACCTTAGAACATCCTAGTAGGTTGGCAGTTTTATATCTTGTGTAAAGGGTACACATCTCTCTCACATATGTGGACTCCATAACTGATCGACGATTATGGATACACCATGGTGCTAGAAGATTATTTTTAAGCATCTGATCGAAGAGCCAGTCAAAGTTGATCAGGCCATAAGAATGCCCCCATTGCATAAGCCCTTTTCTCACCTAGGGTACCCTTCAACCCTAAACCATACTCTTTAAGCAGCATGTCAACCTTCCACTCTTCCATCTCCTCATAATCCTTCTTTTTGTAACGAGGGTAATGAAGAGGCATTTGGAACCCTTTAGGGTACATTTGCACACAAATCTCCACCTGAGGCAGCCCATCATTTGAGACCTTCAAGCTCTTAACTCCTTCTGGAGCTGGTTCTTCATTGGGGTACCCTACAACCGTGCTAGCGTCCTTTGGGTTGCCCAAAACAATAGAACTTGCGGAATGAAGAAGCCATCTCAATGCCATGTCTCTCTTTACCCTTATGGGAGGTACATGTCACATAGATGTTGATCAAAATGTTTAAGGCAAGTTTAAGAAACTCCACTCATATATATAGGCCGCCGCAAATCAAGCAAATTATATTATTTAGAAGAAAATGTGAAGAGCTAAGCTAGGCGTACAGAATTAAAACACATAATATACTCAAAAATATATTGTGTGGTTAAAATTTATTTTAAATATAGTGCATATCACACTCAAGATGGATTTTATCCCCACAATATATATATATATATTTTTTGTGCACATTCTGTGTTCTAATTCTATTCACCTCTAGTTTTATTGAAATGTCTAGAAATACAGAAACCAATCACAGAACCGGATATAACCTTTTCATATTAGTAGTTTTTGTGCAAATAGTAGAACTGGGACTAAACTAGACTGTGATGTTGGGTTTTGATAAGCCTATCAGAAGATCTATTTTGATGATCTAAAACATTCAACTTCTAAGACCTTTCGAGAAGCGGCAAAAAAAATTAAGTTAATTGAATACTCATAGTCATAAGATCATATTATACTTGTCATCAAAATAATCAATATCAAGTTATATTTATCTTTAAAATGAATGATTTGAATCATTAAAATAGAACCATAATGATTTCGATACACAAACCAAACTAGAGATAATCAACTTGCTATTATTATTATTAGAATCCCATACGATATATCTAACAAATTTTTTAAGAATATTGATAGGGGGTGTATTAATTGGTAAGTTATCTTAAATGGGTATTTGGCATGCTAACATAGGCTACCTCTCATTATATGTATTAATGCATTAGTTAGGAGTCGCTTTTCTTGCATGAAATTATGGAGTTCACTTGCGTGTTCTCATGAAATCACCTTACGTCTGTTGATGTAAGCTTCAATTATTTCAATAAGTGACTTTCAAACCAGGATTTTAGAAATTTTTAGACTCTGTTTAAATTAAAATATTTGAGAACATTTTGGTAAAAAAACAAAAAATGAAAAGAAAATTTAAATAAAATAGAAGTTAACGTTTTTTTTACTTTTTCTTCAATTTTTCATTCCCTCCACAAATCTCCATTTTAAATCATTGATCGAAACATAGTTTTAAATTAGCATTTCTTCACGTGTAATCTATTAGTTGGAGACGGTTTTTGATTAGGCGTTGTTTTAGACTCAGCTGGTAATTGGCTTAAAATAAACTCACATATAAATTAGTGCTTAAAAACTTAATTCGTTTAGTATCTTTTTGACTTTATATATATATATATATATATTTTAACAGAAATTAGAGCAACTAAATAATAATTAGTTTATCTTAGCAATTTGAACTTATAAGTTAACTTATAAACCCTGCCAATTGAGATTTAAGGTCTTAGTATTGCCAGTGTACGGGGTGTTCTAGACAAAGCGACTTGTACAGCTAATAGCCTGTTGATGAAGCAATTTCAGATCCACAAATCTCAAAGACCACATTTTACATATATAGTGGGTGTTTGGGAAGTGGCTATTTTAGAAGTTTTTTAACTTTTTGGCTACTTTAGTTTTTGTGTTTGGGAAGATAGGATGAATTTTTATTTAGGTTGTATATTAAAAAATGTGTTTGAAATGATGTTTGAGCCTGAAATGATAAATATGTCTCTAACCTCACTTTTTTCAAGATAGGTCTGAAGGGGCAAAATTGTCATTTACTTTCTGAAATAATGGGATTGTCACTACTTGTGCCTACACTGTCACGTTGACAGTGTAGGCTGCGCCCACTGCCAAACTATATATATATATATATATTTAAATCAATAAATTTTGGGAGTTAAAAGGCTTTTTTATATTTGAGGCTAAAATAACCTATGTCCAAGATTCCTAAACACCGCCATAACATTTTAAGATTAAATAATAAAATCTATATGGACTAATTAATGATACAAAAGCTTGAGACAATAGGATCATTCCCTACCCTCCACATGTGAAGGTAACAACAAATTCTCCTAAAAAAGAGGATTACACTGTAAGATGTTTGGCGGCTTCAGGCCCAAATGCTCAAGCTTTCACTACGCCAAAACAGGACATTAACGGCGATTTTTTTAACGGCGGTAACGAAAATCGCCGTTAAAGGTACTATTAACGGCGGTAACAAAAACCGCCGTTAATACCGCGTTAATGTATCATTAACGGCGGTTTTGTTACCGCCATTAAAAAAATCGCCACTAAAAGTGTCTTTAACGACGATAATGAAACCCACTTTTAGCGGTAGTAACGAAACCGCCGTTAATGCCCACTTTTAACGGCGGTAACAAAACCGCCGCTAATGCCCAATCATTACCGCCGTTAATGACGGCGGTCTTTGCCGGCGGAGCTCCGGCGAAACTCCGACGTGCTCCGGCGAAGCTCCGGCGAGCTCTGGCGAAACCATCTACAATAAAGTAAAAGTAATGTTTAAATATTTATTTAGGGAATATATTTCATGAAGAGTTGTTGTGGCAGAGTGGTTGGTGTTGGTGGATGAGAGGTCTTCGATTCAAAACTTGGGGAGTGCAAGAAGAAAGAATTATTTTTTGAAAAATTTGAACCTATTTACGGCGGTAAAAAATCGCCGTTTTTGGTCCTATATTACCGCCGTTTTTGGTCGACTTTTAACGACGGTAATTTGCCTTTTTATGACAGTTTCACTTTTTCCGACACACGCATAAACGGCGGTAACGAAACCGCCGTTAATACCGCCGTTAAAGGCTTTAACGGCGGTTTTACAGCCTTTAACGGCGGTAAAAAACCACCGCTAAAGCCCAATTTTGGCGTAGTGTTTGTAAATTATATTACTTTGACCTGGCAGGACTCTGTGACCATTAATTTAGCACATGATTCTTTGTATCTAACATTTTATGTTTTTTATTTTAATATATTTTTTATCAGTAATGTTCCAGACTCCCACCACCCCCAGATCCCCCACAACATTTGTGAGAGAGAGGGAGGAGAGAGGGGGAGGAAAAATAATAATAATGAGTGGCCACCAATCAATTGGGAGTTGTGAGGGTCACCAAAAATAGGGGTCTCAAGCATTTTTTATTTTTTATTGTATAATTATTTCTTATGATTTTTGTAGTTTAGTATTTTCATTAAATAGATGATCTATTTTTAAAAATGCACTTGTCGTTCATTTTTTCATAAACAAATACAATAAAATGAAGATGTTACGATTATCTAATCGATTTAATTTATTTTATTTTTTTTTGTAAATAATATATATGAAGAGTTCTACAAAATAAAATATTCAAAATATCGAACGAGACCTCATAAGTCCAAACTGATTTCTCAAGTTCAAACTTGAACTAGTCACTGATTTTGTTCACAAAACAATATGTAAGGAATATGGGACAGAAGATAAATAGATAGATAATGAGACGTGGTCTATGATAATTTGGCCTGGCATCCTCTATTCCAAAATCTCATCTCCTTATTTTAATGTAGTTGTATTATCACATATCGGCATTATGATATATTGAGATTTTTATCAAATTATACAATTGAAAGTGAACTGAGGAGAGGGGGGATAGGTATTTTAGAGAGATGATCCTACTTCTAAATGTACTCCTAATTATATTATATCTTGAGATTCTTGTATTTTGAAATTCTTATCAAATTATACAACTAAAAATGCATCAAGGAGAGGGAGACAAGGATTTTACGGAGAAATGATTCTACTTCCGCTCTTGATTATACTATTGTATCTTGAAATTCTCATATTTTGAAAATTTTATCAAATTATTAAGTTAGGAGTGCATTAAGAAAAGTGGAATAGGAATTTTAGGGACAGATGATTCCATGCCCACTAGTTTATTCAGAAGAAGCAAGTGGTCCAATATGCATTACGTATTAATGGAGAAATGGACTAGTTACATAAATATTTGACAAGGGGCACAGTCATTGTCATTATTTTAACTCAAATAACCTCTAAGAATTGGCCTAGTGGTGTAGGTTTGAGACTTGAGAGTTTGTTCCTCTTTAGATTTTAGGTTCAAAACCTCTTAAGTGGTATCAATCTTTGTGTTGGGCCAGTTCATTCGGAGTTTTACTCTGGCTTTAATAGCTCCCCCTAGTAAACGGTGGGATTGGTGTCCCAGAAATTAGTCGAAGTGCACACAAGCTGTCTAGGAGTTATCACAAAAAAAAATTATCTTAACTCAATTGGATTCACTTAAATGCAAATCTAACCCAAACCCAACATTGAATATTACAATTTTTGTCTAAGGCCACGAGGAGTAAATCATTGAATTGGGCCAACCCACTCAAGTTCATACCCAAAAGCCCCCCTGTGGTTCATTTGATGCCGAACCTAGCCTGTGCCAACAAAGTATTGAACGTTACACCCTGAGTCACCCCCAACAATTAAAGAGGCTTGGTAAGTTGGTAGTATTAACAGTTGAGGAAAACGGCCATCCTCAGAAAAAGGTCTACTCAAACTATTAGGCTTAGCAAATTATTGTTAAAAAAATTAAATTAATCAAATAATTGTAGTTATATGATCAAAAATATTTATTTTTAAAATAATGACTGTTTGATATTTAAAATCACATTTGTTGTACATTTCTTTTTGAAGATAAATGTTATTTGTTCATTGGCTACTGTTATCATGTTTTTTTGGGTCTCTCAATTGGACCAAATGTTAGTCTCAATGAACTCATTTTGTTAGTCTAAACTATTTAGTCATTAAAATATATTATTTATGTAAAAATTTAAATTGATTAGATAATCGTGATCAAACATATTTTCAAAATTGTCGACAATTCATACATAAAATAATACTTCTCGTTAATTTTTTTTAAAGAAATTTTTTTATCTATGTAACTATTGTTATTTAATCAATCGAATCTGTTATATAAATAATTTATTCAAAAAAACATTTATAACATTAAATAGTTTCCACCATTATATGTGTCAATTAGTGTATTAATTAATATATCAATTGATGATGTGGCATATTTAATGTTAATAATAATGTCATAATTAATTGGTGCACGTAACACTACCGTTTCAGATAGGGCTGTTCAAAAATCCGTTCAAACCGGTAATCCGGACCGAACCAGACCGAATCATACGGTTTGGTTCGGTTCTATTAAGAA